TTTTCTTTTTCACAGTTATTAAAGTAATTTTCTACCTCTTCTTCCTTTACATATTCAAATCTTTCATTTCCCCCACCACGATGACATGCGCGTTGCGATCTTACCATTTTTTTTTACAATCTTATTCTCGTTCAGTTTACTTTTATCGCTTGAAGATAAAGTATTACTTTAAAGTAAGTTTGTCTGCTCTTCGATTACTTATTTTTTTATAACCAGTGAATAATTTTTTTTTCTTTTGCGCGAACTTCTTACAAGTGATTACAATTAACGTAATTTTATTTAACGTAATAATAATATTATTATTTTTTATATATTATCTTATTCAGAATATATGCTGCAAATCTTGATTATTAGCATAGGATGAAAAGTGTGACAACTTGAATAAAAAGAAAGCTATCGTGCTGTGATTATATTATCAACGTTTGTAATTTACAAGAATTATCGACATTACATATACGTAATCAAGTAATTAATATAACAATAAAATATCATTACATTCATTTTCTTTTTATAATTATTCTGTTTCTCAGAACAATTACATGTATGTATTTAATGTAATCTCATAGCAAATTACGAAATATCATAGCATAAGAAAATGACGTTTGCATTATCTGAAAGACAAATTATTTCTGTTATTGTAATCTTTTTTTTTTTTTATAAGTAATTTAGTTCATATAGAAAAAAAAAATTGTTTTACCGAGGCAAAAACATAGTGGCATATTACGATAACTCCTTTTATAGAAAGATTACACGGTGTTAGGCTTCTCATTATCAAAAATGGTAACATCTTTTGTGTTTTCAATGATAGAGTATAAAACGGAATTTGACAGCTATAAAATATAAAATAAATAATTTATAATTCTAGATAAAAATGAATTAAAATAAATTACAATTACTTACAGTCTTGAATAAATGTATTCATGATTGTCTATCAATTTTTGTCCGAGATAACTGTAAGCGAATATTACAGAAACAGATCCAATAACATAAGTTACCTTTTTAATTACATCACTCGTGTTCAATGTTACGGACAGTATCTCAAATAACTAAACAAATGAACTAATCGTTAGCTTGATACAGCAAAAAAAAAAGTGTACATATTTAAATGTTAATTTGAAATAATTTATTTACATAATAATAATCCACAATAATCATAAGTGACGCTAGTACAACATCGACGATTAATACTCTTTCATAACACAACTTTATTAATGTGATAAAACTTTGGCAGCGATAAAACAGACATATATTAAAAATATTATTATTTTTAATTAAAATTTCTATAAAAAAAAAAAACAACTTTATTATATGTTTGTAAAATTTAATACAAACTCAACCACGTGATTATAAAATTTAATGATATCGATGATCCATTCGTTTTCATCTACTATTATATCATGTACGGTACATTGTTCAAATTTTTTAGTATTTTTTTTAAATCTTCCATCTATCCTTGCTCTGTAATAAATATAATATACTACACTTTAATTTATTAGTAATATTAGGTGTACAAAAAAGATGATGCTACTCAAGGTTCAGGTTAAAATTGACAAATGAAAGACAGCATGAAGTATTATTGACTTTGTATCAGCATCATATTATTTTGTTTCTCCTTAAATGTCTAATTTTGTTCCAAATAAGCATCATTTGTCGCAACTTTTAATTTACTTCTTCAATTGAAAACAAATCTGAAGCTGAGGTGCATCGATTGCTTGTAGAAGCATATGATAAGTCTGCTTTAAGTGAGAGAACTTGTCGTGAGTGGTTTCAAAAGTTTAAACACGGTGACTTTGGCGTAAAAGACAAAGATTGCAGTGGAAGGACCGAAAAATGTACGAAAACA